CAGTAATAATTATAATAATAATAATAATAATTATGGCTGTGGAATTAATCAGAATCACAATATGGAAGTGAAATATGTAAATCACAGCTGCACCTTGTAGATGGTGAAATGAGACAAACAGCGTTATAATGAAGAGCTGCAGTGTTCAGTACAGACACAATAAATGCCACATCATTAAGATTAATGTTTTTGTCACTGAACATTTAATTTGATGCAAAGATTGATCCTTCTCACGCTACACAATGTGATGTTTTTACCATATCGTGCAGCCCATAAAATAATAATAAATATAGCTGCATTCCAGGTTCAAACCAACACAGACTGTCAGTTCAACATTGTAGACAATAAGACAATGCATAGGCATTTCTGACCCAGTTTTGTTGCGTTTGTAGTCGACTTTCCAGCAATGTGAACACAGAAATGTTTAGTCTGGGTCTTCAGCAGTTACACTGACAGATGTTGTTAATAACCAACCTTACATAGTGCTTTACTAAAAACTAAATTCAAACAAAAGAATAAAATAGATTTACCCAAAATACAATAAAAATAAGATGTAATAGTCTAATAACTGAATTAAAACATTGAGGAACTGGAAAATGAAACTTTACAAAAGTTTATTAAAAGATACGTTTTAAATGGTGTAGATTAAAATTAATTATTCTGCAGTATCGCACCAGCCTGGTTACTTCTTATTTTCAGACATATATGTATTTTAAAATTCATTAACTCCATTAAAAGTTGTTGCATTCATCAAATTAAATGCTGAGAGCGGCCCCATTTTGTGTTTGACTGAAACGTGTTCAAATGGACACATTGTTAAACGTTGAAGAACGTATTATTATATTAATCCTTTGGTCCACCAACCTGTGGCTGCAAAATTACATACAAAGCATAAGTGAATATATTCAGACATCTCTTTTTGTATTATAAATAAACAATAATAAGAATTCTCAACTTTAAACAGCAGCGAACTCACTGCTTAGAACTTAAAGATAAACGAAGATATCGTCTGCGTAGAAACAGAATACATACTGGAATACATAATAACGGATTGTTTATCGTTGTTTTGTTTCCTGTAGCAACTGGACGAGGTTCGTCGTGATCTTCGCTGGATCACCGATGCCCTGCAGTACGCTCGGTACAAGCAGCCTCGCGGCGGCGTACCGCTCACCTGCCTGGTGGATGCCGACGCTCCAGATAACGACTCCGGCCAGCAGAAGACAGACTCCACCTCCTCGACCATGGACTATCTGCCTACACCTTCCCCCTCACCCGAACTCTGCAGACGGAAAGTCATGAGCGGTGAGTCGTCACGAGGAGCTTAAAATTAAATTTATATATTTTACCAAACATAAAACGTCACCGTGCCGCTCTCTGTCTGTCAGACTCTCTGCTCGGGTCCGATGAAGACGGGTCCTCTGAGGTTTTTCTCCCGACTGACAGCGACTACGACTCCAGTGACGCACTGAGCCCCCGCGAGCTGGACCTGCTCTACTCTCCAGCCCAGGATCTATCCCAGCAGGCTGTGCACTCGCTGGGCGGCAGCGCCCCAGATGTGCTCCAGATCCACGAGCTCAGGTTTGTTTGTTTATTTTTTATGTAGTAAATAAACAAACTGCAGGAACAGGAAGTGGCAGCGAGTCCACGCCGTCCCTGTTGGTGTAAACCTGACGGATGCTTTCATGTCTCCGTCTCTCAGGTACAGCGTCTGCCCTCCCAAAGACCTCCCCCTCTCCTCGGGGGTGAAGGATCCTCTCTCCTCACCCCTCCTCCCCCACTCCCCCTCTCTATCCACAGACTTCCCTTTCTCCCCCTCCGGTCTGCCTCGCTCTCCCTCCCTCTCCAGGACCCTCCCCACCTCTCCATCCGTCCCCCTGTCCCCCAGATTCTCCAAGGACCTGCCTCTGTCCCTCCCCCTCTCCCCGGCGCTGTCCGACACCACCAAGACCTTTGAGGGCCTCTCCCTCTCCAAGGAGGGCGTCGCTCCCCTGAGGGCCCTCGCCAACCCTCCCGCCAAACGTAAACTTCTCTCCAGGAGCCACCGGGGCCAGTACTTCAGTGGGCCCCAGCGCTGGCTCCGGGGCCACAGCGGGGAGACTCACACAGGATCTCTATCTGAGGGCGTCTACACCAAGCAGCTCGACCTGGACCTGCCTCTGCCCGGGGACCCGCCCTCGCTGCTGGGCACCACCTACGTGAGCCACGCCTCCTGCGTCCTGGAGAGCCGGAAGGGCCGACACCGGGAGCCGCGGCCCCACGTCCGCAGGATCTTTGTGGAGCCGTGTAAGGAGCTGTCACCGGGCCACGAGAGGAGTAGCTGGGAGGAGGAGGAGGAGG